ACACTGAGGCCAAACAGTAAAACAACAAACACACATACCCACTCCCCCCTCCACTTTTTTTCATACTAGAGAGGACTGTAAGAGTAAAATTTCAAACAATTTTAACAAAAAGACAGACATAGATGGTTACCACACTCACTCAATTTTAAGAGGCTAATGGGTCATAACGACATCTGGTATGGACCCTGACTCAAGAAGTTGTGCTGCATCCAGCCCTCTTGAGTCCCAGATGAGTACTCAAAACAAGCAAATTTGGATGATGAGGTACCTGTATATAGGCAGAGGTCAGTGCAAATCCTGCCAGCCAGGAAGCCAGGACTGGCAGCTGGGGCTGTGTTAATCATCACGGTGGCCTCCCCAGACGACCAAGCCAGGCTCCAGAACACAGGATGGCCACTACTCTCTGACTGAGGCCTCCAAAATGTTACAAAGTACAATATAGTTCATGTCAGATAAATTTAGAATTTATTAAGGCGCCTTTATAAACCAAGCTTGGTGATAGCAGTACCCATTAAAATTAGTAAGTGAAAAGTCAACAATGATAATTCAGTCTGAATTGAAACCCTGAGAGAAAAAAATTGATCATTACTGAAGACGCTGATTTCAGTTATCCCAACAACATAAATTAGCCTAAGAGACAGGCAGTTGACAGCCTGGACTCATTTGCAAAACTGTAAACATTTATCCTTTCCTGGCTTTTGGCTTGCATTCCATTGTTGTTAAGCATTATCCTGTCCTGGAATTTTTGGAAATACAGAAATCTGAATCAGATTTCTGTAAAAAATAGATTTTTTGTAGTATTTTTTTGATATGACAAAATTTTGCCCCACTTGGCATCTGACAGTATCTTTAATATAATCCAAAAGCCTACTCAGTTGTTGTATCTACTAAATGAAACTTTTGAATTTTTTAGATGCATATCAAGGATGTCAAGACTTATAATATCTAGTTGAAATAGGATCTCTTTATATAACACAATATAGATTAGATTTAATTATTGGCATTGAGTGATCACTAAATATCTGTAAAATAAGCACATAACTTATCAATCTTAAGCAATGTGAACATACTGAAAGGCAGAAAACACTAAGAGCACCTCAATACAGGAGCTTATCATATTCTGAGACACTTCAGCAAAGTCAGGTCTGGAGTTCACTGGAGCTAACTAGAAAAATTTAATCATTAATTAGATAAAAACATTTAAGAGGAGATGTTATAATAACATGTGCTTTTAAAACTTTGTTGCTGTGACAGAGGATCAGATTTTAATTCCATACATCAATGATGAATATTTTAGAAAATGCTGCAAACACTGTTTTAAAGACGATGGTTAATTATATTGCATATAAATCATACAAGATGTATTCCTTTCACTTCCTCCATGGCTTCCCCATCCCTTCTTCAACAAACTTTATCCTGTAAATATTTTGTCCTCTTCAGCGTTGCAGTCTAACATAGCCATTCTCCTGTAGGACAGAATATTTTATAAGCCATGTCCTTTTTTCTTTTATCCAAAAAACTCTCCTTTGTAACCTTTTCATCAAGAACACATTTGTATACTTGCATTTATCCTTTTTGTTGTTGTTTTATTTTTTAAAGATTGATTTATTTTTATTACAAAGTCAGATATACAGAGAGAAGAGACAGAGAGGAAGATCTTCCGTCCAATGATTCACACTCCAAGTGATTGCAATGGTCGGTGCTGAGCCGATCCGAAGCCAGGAGCCAGGAGCTTCCTCCAGGTCTCTCACACGGGTGCAGGGTCCCAAGGCTTTGGGCCGTCCTGGACTGCTTTCCCAGGCCACAAGCAGGGAGCTGGATGGGAAGTAGAGCAGCTGGGACATGAACTGGCACCAAGAGATGCTGGCACTTGGAGGCAGAGGATTAGATAGTTGAAGTCATTGTGCAGATTCGAGGGTTTCTCTTTTTTTTTTCTTCCTGAAAGATTTATTTTTATTGGAAAGTTACATTTACACAGAGGAAGATCTTGTGTCTGCAGATTCACTCCCCAAGTAACTGTAACGGCCCAAGCTGAGCTTTTCGAAGGCAGGAGCCAGAAGCTTCTTCCAGGTCTCCCAGGTGGGTGCTGGGTCCCAAAGCTTTTTTGGTTGTCCTCAACGGCTTTCCCAGGCCAGATGCAGGGAGCTGGATGGGAAGCGGGGTCACTGGGACATGAACCGACACCCATATGGGATCCCTGGCATGCAAGGTGAGGATTTTAGCCACTAGGCTACTGTGCTGGGCCCTCTAGAGTTTAATTCAGTAATTTTCCATCTATTTAACCTGTTGGTTGTATTTCACCATTTTCTGATTTCAATTATTTAGTTGCAACTTGCTTTCTTTTCTGCCTCCTGTTCGTCTACTCTTTTTTCATGATGCCCTGTTCGTGCTCAGAGGATTAAGTTTTTTATTCCAGAACACTGCCAGCCTCCTTACTCTATCTAGTGAACAGCTGTTTCCTGGATGTTATATCACTTTTATTGCACCTGCTGGTTTGTTTCTGAGACTAGGTTTCCTTGTGACTTTGATACTAGCTTCTTTTTTTTTTTAAGATTTATTTATTTATTGGAAAGTCAGATATATCAGAGAGGAGGAGAGACAGAGAGGAAGACCTTCTGTCCGATGATTCACTCCCCAAGTGACAGCAATGGCCGATGCTATGCCGGTCCAGAGCCAGGATCCAGGAACTTCTTCTGGGTGTCCCACATGGGTGCAGGGCCCCAAAGCTTTGGGCCATTCTCGACTGCTTCCCCAGGCCACAAGCAGGAAGCTGGATGGGAAATGGAGCTGCCGGGATTAGAACCGGTGCCCATATGGGATCCCGGGGCGTTCAATGTGAGGACTTTAGTCACTAGGCCACGCTGCCGGGCCTGATACTGGCTTCTAGTGGTTGTCTCTCAAAGGAGCTCCAAGTGTTAGCTTCTGCCCAATCCTTTGGGAATCACAGATCACAAACTGTTTCAAACCTATCAAGAAAAGCTTTGGAATAAAAATTTAAAAAATAGTTTGGAGATATGAGCCCCCTGTTAACATCCCTTCTGCTTGTCAGCTTCCATAGTCTCAGCCCACGTAGCTACAACCTTCAGTGTAGTATATGCCAGCTTCCAAAAGGCCCAGAACTGTGTAGAATCAAGGCAGGTTTTTGCATAACGCCACTGCTATACTCCATATTGGAACACCCAGGTTCAAGACCAGATTAGGGGCCCCAGCACGATGGGCTAAATCCTGGTCTTACTAGTACTGGGATCCCATGCAGGCACAGGTTCATGTCTGGTCTGCTCTGCTTCCCATTCAGCTTGTGGCCAGGGCAAGGATTAATACGTGGCTCAAAGCCTTGGAACTCTGCACCCACACTGGAGGCCTCAAGGTGGCCCTTGGCTTCTGGCTTTGGATTGGTTCAATTCCTGCTGTTTCAGACACTTGGGGAGTGAACCAGATAGATTTTTCTGTATCTCCTTCTGTCCATAAATATGCCTTTCCAGTGACAATTAATCTTAAAAAACAAAAAAACCTCAGTTAGTTTCTGGGATCCTGGCCAATGCGGGCATTTGGGGAACTAATGGATGCAGGATTTCTGCCCTTCAAAAATGACAAAAACAATTCTCCAAACCAGTCTTATGTAAAATGCACATTATCATTTTCAAACATCTGTTCATTTAAAAGGGTGGACGACACATCTTTTTCTGGTTCATCCTCCCAACTTCCCTTGGTTTCAACAGCCAAGGCTGGGGCAGGCTGAAGTCAGACAGGAGCTCCATCTCCCACAGGTGGGTCACGGGAACCAAGAGCAGTGGCCTGAACTTAGGACTCAAACCAGCATGTGATGGCGAGTGTTCCAAGCAGTGGCTAAATGCGCTACACCGCCACACCCACTTGAAGTCAGTAACTACCATCTATTGGTTCAGTCCTTAGATTTCTAGACCCAACTATTGAACATGTATGGCTGGTAAAACTGAGAATGAGGACCCAGCACAAAGGCCTAGTTTTCAAAGCCCTTGCCTTGAACTCTGGGATCCCACAAGGGCATTGGTTCTAATCCCAGCACCCCAGCTTCCCTTCCAGCTCCCTGGGACAGCAGGCCCAAAGCCTTGGGGCCTTGCACCTGTGTGTGACCTGAAGAGTATCCTGGTTTTCTTTCAGCTCTGCTCTGGCTGTTGAGGCTGCCTGGGGAGTGAGCCTTTGGACAATAGATCTTCCCATCTCTTCTCTCTGTATACCTGACTCTCCAACTCCACCTGTTAAATAATCTCACGTATGCCAACTATTTTGACTGTTTACTGGTGGGTGTCACCCTCCACTCCCCTTAATCTTGTACCACATCTTGTTTCCAATGAGACCAATCCATTATTTACTTCAAATAGTTTTATTGAAATCTTTAATTAGGTACTTGCACGAAACAAAAATCAAGCTTTCTACTTGGCATGTTTGGGCCTCAGAATTTCTTTCCAGTATTTTTGCATTTGTTGATAACCACTCAGGAAACACCCAGAAGGCTTCAGTTCTGAAGATCTATTCCACACGAGAAGACATCCTTGTCAGCCAAATTCTGCAACTTCACAAATGGAACATGTGTTAGAACCATGGTAGCAACCAGCAGGGAAACCACACTGCAAGGGACATGCCCCACAGGGTGCTGGGGAAGCCGGAGTGGATCAGGTGGTTTTAAAGATCCTCAGAGAAAGCTCAGAGACTCTAGTCCAACGAAGTCATCATTACCACTCCACCGGACAACCAAAGGCAATGACACTTACTGCTGCCGCAGGAAGGGCTTCCTCTCCACCCGTCACAGCCCAAGGATGAAGCAGCAGCAGGAATCATCACATAGCCAGGCCTGTCTGTATGACTAATGGGCTAGCTCCAAAACTTGCATGAAGGGACACTACCCCAGCTGGGGTCCCAGAGCTCTCATCCTAGAAAGACACAAGTAGAATTACTAAGAATGAGAACCATGGCTCTCCCTTGTGCCCCCCAGGAAGCCAAGTATCCAGTCTCCTAAATGAGTCAGAACTTAAGCTTGACATCAGGACCAGTGTCAGAGACTCTAGTCTGTGAGATCATCACTCCCAGTTTAGAGACTTGGATCAGGGCAGCCAAAGTAGGAAATGGATCCAGTGTGAGTTCCAGCGAGGGGCTGGGGCTTACATTGTGGGGTAGGATAACCTGCTTTTTGATTTATGACAGCATCCCATCAGAGTACTAACCCTGACCACTCTGCTCCTGACAACTAAAGCCAAATATACCCGGAAAGATAATTGAAGCGTTCATCTTCCACATGGACTCCAAGACTGAATTCCAGGTTCCCAGCTTTGACCCAGACCTGGCTGCTGCGGTCATTTTGCCAGTAAACCAGCGGATGCAGTCAGTATCTCTACACATCTGTGCTAAACAGATTTTTTTTTAAACAAATTTCAGAAGGAAGATGTAGAGAATAAATTTAAAACTGCAAAGGTGCCTAAGGCCATTGGGGGGGGGGGACCAGACCTTAAATCCACCGATTCCCCCCGCCCCCAAATGGTGGAGACAAAGTCTAGACAGGCTCAAACAGAAGCCCAGGCTATTAAATACAAGTTAGAAATCAAGCCACAGCTACAAAGAAAAGAGGGTGCGAGAAGCAGGGCCTCGATCACCAGGTGGAATATTCATATTGTTCCACAAGCTCATTCACATCAGGCAGATCCAGGATGTGGGTTATATCACTGGACGGGAGGCCGCGCATCCCACACCAGACCGTTGGGTAGCTCTAGCCATTGTACTTCCAAACTCCCAGCTTAGGTGCTGGTTCAAGTTCCAGCCACCCACATGGGAGAGGGACGGATTTCCGGTCCCGGCAACCGTTTCCCGAGTAACCTAGGGTATAGGCCAGCCCCCCAGATAACACTCACCTTTGCTCACGGATAACACGGGAGAGGGCGGTCCTGCAACCCCTAGTAGGGAAAGAAATACCACCATTAGCAACGGAGCCCCTCCTGCCACCAACCTCCCCCAGCCCAGGGCCTAGGACCCCAACCTCGGGGGCAGAGGGCGGTCAGCGCGCTGCGGTGATGGCGTCAGCGATGGCACTCAGAATCACCTAAGGTCATCATTACCCTCGTGGTCCCACATGAAGGCGGCCAGGCACCCGCGCAATCCACTCACCACCCATCAGGACGCTGCGGGCCGGCCAGCGCGGAAGGGGAGCCTGTAAAGACATTGTGGCATTAGCAGGCGCAGAGGACACCCCAGCGTCGTCCCCCCGCGCCCCGGGCTGGGTCAGTTCCAAGCAATGGCGTCACGGACACCTCAGAAACTCTAGTCTGTTATAGTCGTTCATCCCGCTCAGCCCGGGACTGCACTCCCCACCCCCGGCGGAGCCCCGCGGCACCTGCGGGAGGGCGTCTGCGGCCGGGGTCGGGCCCTGGCCTTCCGCACGCTCCCGAGACCCCATAATGCCGGAGGCCGAGCACGATCCCACCACACAAAGAGGCCGACCCGCCCCGCGCGGGCTATTTAAGGCCGCGCCGCGCCGGGGGCCTGAGGGCCATGGCTGTCTTCCCGCATGCCTGGCTCGGCGGGCAGCGTCTTGTGCGTCGTTTGTCTAAACCGGAATAAAACAAAGCGAAAAGAAAGGCCTTGACCGTACGTTGTACAGATTTCACAGGCATGTTGCAACTATTTGAAGGTTTTTTTTGTGAAATTTGAAAAGCAGGCACAAATAAGGCCCCTGCGGCCGCTCCCGCGAGAGCTCGTCGCCGCCCGCGGCTCGTTGAGGTGGGTGGGGCGGACTTTCCCCGTCCTTCTGGGGTCCGTGCCCCCCACCCAGCTCCCAGCTGCCCTGTCCCGACCGTTCTCCCTTCTGGGGGTCCCTGCTTGGGGTCTGTGCCCCCACCCGGCTCCCAGCTGCCCTGTCCCGACTGTTCTCCCTTCATCTGGGGTCTCTGCTTGGGGTCCGTGCCCCCCACCCGGCTCCCAGCTGCCTTGTCCCGACTGTTCTCCCTTCTGTGGGGGGTTCCTGCTTGGGGTCCGTGCCCCCCACCCGGCTCCCAGCTGCCCTGTCCCGACCGTTCTCCCTTCTGGGGGTCCCTGCTTGGAGTCCGTCCCTTCCCCCACTCCCCCCCGACTCCCAGCTGCCTTGTTCCGAATTGCCCCCCTCCCCTGCACTGGAGATACACACCTGTCACACTCCTTAAGCTTTGAGCCTTTTAATTTTATTAAACTGCCTATGTTGGAAAACGATTTTTTGAAGTTTAAATTTAAAATATTTGTTTTAGGAAATTGTGCATACTTATGGCTTACCATTTGATAACTATATTTGCATAATGTACAGTAAATCAATCAGCATTTCTGCCTCTTTAATCATATATCAGTTTTTTTGGCATTGCACTTTTGAAACTCCTCTCGTTTTTTAGAAAATATGGAATAAATTGTTGTAATAAACTGTAGACACCATCTTTTCAGGAGTGTTAAGTACAGTGTGTCTCCAAAACGTTTTCATCTTCCCCAACTTGGAAAGCTATACCCATTCAACACTGCTTCCTGTTTTCTCTGCTTCCTGTCCTTTTAATGTGTAGTGAGTGGTCTGGGACCACAATGGTGAAAGCATTCAGCACCCTCTTACTAGCACAGGCCACAGGGGAATTGGAAGCCGGGGCCCAACTGGTGTGCAGTGGCAACAGCCAGGCCTCATCCTCTGCTTTCCCCTCTTCCTCACTGTTTTGCTCTTGCCACCCAATCCCTCCAACTTAAATTCCAGATTGTACCTTGTAGACCCTTCACGATTCCCCTTTGTTTATAAATGCATATATTTCTAATTGGGCATGTTTATCTTTGTTGAAAATTCTATCAGAGGATGAAATGGGGGAGCTAAGCCATGCAGAATCGGTCATCCTTTGCACTTCTGTAACACAGGTGCAAGAAGCTAAGAGTAGCATTTGGAAGGAGGTCACTGTGGGCACAGCAAACCTCTCTCATCCCTTGCAGTTGTTTTGGTCTCTCCTCTTCAAGCATCAAGGTTTGAGCCTTATATAAAATATATGAAGTTGTCTTCTAAGACTTTTGTGGTACTTATTTGATGAATTTCAGCACACCCACAGGCCAAGGTCCACCTGGGGTGATATTCCAAATTATTTTGAGTCAACAACCTGTGTATGTGTACAAATAGGCCATGATTTCTCCCATTCAGATACTGCTACTTGTCAGACCTAAGAAGGGGGCCCCAAATTTATTCCGCCAAATCCCGAAATTCTTCAGCTCATTGTACTGTAGCTGGAAATTTCCCATCCTCCCTTTCCCACTTCCTAACCCTCTTATACATAAAATCAACAAGAGCCTCTCCTTGACTGGTTTCTGTCAACCTGTGCTGCACTCTAGAAATACTGGGCAGCTTTAAATACAAATACAGACTAAGATTTTGAAGTGGCCTGACAGTTGTGTTTTTTGATGTTTTTCCTCCACTTGATTTATTCTACCACTAGAGTAGAATACCATGGCTTTAACAGCTTGAAGCGAAGGAATTGCTCCTCCTACTGCATGTCACTTAAAAGACAAAACAAAACAAAAACATGTTACTGGCAAAGCTTAGTGGGTTCTTTCCTTGGCTGAGAATGGAAATAAAAAGCCAGGAAACAAGTACAAGTATAATTCTTTACTCAGAGCAAAGCGGCAGGAAGTGTTGCTGCAAGAAGGAGTAGGGAAGTGAAAAGGCTGACTGGATAATGGCTTTAAGGGAAATGACTTGGGCTTTTTTAAAGTTTTGTTTTGTTTTTCTCCCTTTCTTTGAACCTAAGGAACAACGTATGGGATCCAGGTGATGGCCTTAGGAGATATCTTGAATGAGAGTAGTCAGGTGACTGTCTTGTCCTGTCTGGGAGCATGGCCTGCAGCCTCCCACTCCCTAGGTCTGGGCAGAGAAGCAGAGGGAGACTCTTATTGCCTCGGTTGTCATGGCAACTCAAGGTCTAGTATGTGCAGACAGTGAACAGTGTGAGATGCAGTCCAAGAACTGGGTAACCCCCTCTCCTCCTCCAACACCTAGACCTTGTCTCAAAAACACAAATAAATGGACGTGGTACAATAGCCTAGTGGCTAAAGTCCTTGCATGCACCAGGATGCCATGAGCAACAGTTACTGTCCCTGCTGCTCTACTTCCCCTCCAACTCCCTCTTGTGGCCTGGAACAGCAGTTGAGGAGGGCCCAAAGCCTTGGGACCTGCACAAACGAGGGAGACACAGAAGTTCCTGACTCCTGGAGTGAACCAGCTGACAGAAAATCTGTCTCTTCTGCTCGCTGTGGATCTATTTTTCCAATAAAAATAAATAAATCTTAAAGACACAAACAAACAAAAAAGTCCCAATTCTTATTGCAGCAGTTAAATATTTAGTATATGCTGTGGTCAGGGACAAGAGCTTCATTAATGATTACCACTGTTACTAAGTTTTGAGAGTTGGTTCAGAAACCAAAGTCAGGTTTTCCAAGAGTGTTTCTGTATTTTATCATTGCTAAAATATTTCCACCACAAATAGAGGATTTAATGAAGCTGGAACATGCATGTGAAACAAACTTTCTGACATACTTCCAGGCTGTAATTTGGTGAAAAGGGATATTTGATTTTCTCAGGCTGGCAGAATGTGAAGGATTCCACCTGCTTGAGTAGGAAGCTCCCCTCAGGATTGTCGGAGATAAAGCCACATGACCTTAATACTCCAAAGCTGTGTTTACAGCTTTTCTTTTCCTCTCCTGCAAATTAAATTTACTATTGTTATACCTATACTGTTATTAGGTCAGCCTTAATTAAGAATCTAACCTAAAACAAATCATCACAGCTTGGACAGGATCATGAAGTGGAGAAAAATGTTTGCAACCTATTCCGTCCCTAATGCATGTCATTTACCAACTCAGTGAACACACGACAAAAATATCCACAGCCATGTCCCCAACTACATGCATCTCCCTATGTGGCACTGTCTCAGCTACAGCACGGAGACTCTATATAACTCATCCACAAACAAGAAGAGACTACATCTTCAGGACTTTATTTTTAAATCTCTGAATAAAAAAATTATAAAATTAAGGATGCTTAACAATGAAGTGTTTTACAATGCAAAAGCTGTACAGAGGGTGGCAGTGTGGATTAATCTGAGGAAGAAAAAGACGTTATGGTACAAAACTTGAAAAAACTGCAAAGCTTCCAAAGAACATCCGGGTCTCACTCTACAAGAATAACTATGCCACAGTTACTGTGAGGTTAGAACCTCACTTTAGAAGGAAGGAACTTAACCAGTACAGACTGACCGACAAAAAAGATACATATTTTCTATATATGTCATATATCTATTTGACAACACAGTCCCTTCGTCCCAGTTGCACGGCTCCGAGGGAGGCCAGGCCCCTAGTCGACCTCCTCAATGGTGGGGCCAGAGCCAGAGCCAGAGCCAGAGCCGCCCTTGGGCCCGTGGGCACCAAAGCCCCCAGCGGCCCCGGGGCCAGCCGCGCCCTGGTACAGGCCGCTGATGATGGGGTTGCACAGCTGCTCCAGCTCCTTGCGCTTGTGCTCAAACTCGTCCTTGTCGGCCAGGCTGTTGGCGTCCAGCCAGGCGATGACCTCCTGGCACTTGTCCAGCACCTTCCTCTTGTCGGCCTCGCTGATCTTGCCCTTGAGGCCGTCGTCCTCCACGGCGCTCTTCATGTTGAAGGCGTAGGACTCGAGGGCGTTCTTGGCCGCCACCCTGTCGCGCTGCACCTCGTCCTCGGCCTTGTACCTCTCTGCCTCCTGCACCATGCGCTCGATCTCCTCCTTGCTGAGCCGGCCCTTGTCGTTGGTGATGGTGATCTTGTTGGCCTTGCCGGTGCTCTTGTCGGTGGCGGTGACGTTGAGGATGCCGTTGGCGTCGATGTCGAAGGTCACCTCGATCTGGGGCACGCCCCGCGGCGCCGGCGGGATGCCGCTGAGCTCGAAGCGGCCCAGCAGGTTGTTGTCGCGCGTCATGGCGCGCTCGCCCTCGTACACCTGGATCAGCACGCCGGGCTGGTTGTCCGAGTAGGTGGTGAAGGTCTGCGTCTGCTTGGTGGGGATGGTGGAGTTGCGCTTGATGAGCGCCGTCATCACGCCGCCCGCCGTCTCCAGCCCCAGCGACAGCGGCGCCACGTCCAGCAGCAGCAGGTCCTGCACGTTCTCCGACTTGTCGCCCATCAGGATGGCCGCCTGCACGGCCGCGCCGTACGCCACCGCCTCGTCCGGGTTGATGCTCTTGTTGAGCTCGCGCCCGTTGAAGAAGTCCTGCAGCAGCTTCTGCACCTTGGGGATGCGCGTGGAGCCGCCCACCAGCACCAGGTCGTGGATCTGCGCCTTGTCCAGCTTGGCGTCGCGCAGCGCCTTCTCCACGGGCTCCAGCGTGCCGCGGAACAGGTCCGAGCACAGCTCCTCGAAGCGCGCCCGCGTGATGGACGTGTAGAAGTCGACGCCCTCGAAGAGCGAGTC